GGAGAGACTCAGGCTGGGAGGAGGAGAAGGCCAGGGGGCTGCAAGAGGTGAAGGCATCAGGCCAAATGGCTCAGGGGCTGTTCCAGACCCAGGGGGATCCCTCTGTGCACTGAGTCCATCCTGGGGACTGAGGCCTCCCAGGCTATGTCTACACTTCACTGTAAACTCAAAATAAGATGCTCAATTTGCACTACACAAATTGAATAGCCTATTTTGAGTTTATTTCGAAATAGGCTATTTTGAAATTTGGTGCTGTCTACCAGGGTGCCAAAATAGTGCGTCCGCTGTATTTCAGAATAACGGACGCGTTCAAAAGACGCGGGGTAGCTATTTCGAAATAGCTTTGATGTGTAGACAACCCCCCACAGACCTACAGTCTGATCCCTGCAACCCCTGAGCTGGGTGTGAGCGGCCCCCTGGGCAGGAGGAACCCCCTGTGCGGTGCAGCAGTGCAGTGGATAGAGCCCCCAGCAGGGTGTTGGGGGCCCAGCCACCAGCTTTTCCTGGTACAGGCTGGAGGCCCAGTGGCAGTGCAGAGAATGGGGGGCCCCCAGGAGGGATAACGTGAGCCCCACATACCAGCTTCCCCCGCTGCTGCGCGGAGCGGCTGTCACGCAGGGCATACACATTCCCGCACACCGAGATCTCGCGCCAGATGCCAGGTGCCGAGTCCTCACTGAAGCCCCCTGTGGGATGCATCACCAGCACCCCATTGGTTGTCAGCCCATCCATCAGCCCGTCCGGTGTCCGCCACTTGGCCGCCCTCTCCTGCCAATGAGAGCAGCCAGCTGTCATGGTAAATCACAGGGAGCTGCTGGGACAGTTCCCTACAGCTCCTCTCCTGAATCCCCCCAGCTGGACCCAGCTCCTTGTCCCCCCCAGGGAGACATCTCCTCCATACTCTCCCATGCCCAACGCACACACCCAGCACCCCCCAGGACTCATAGGCTCCCAAGGGCCCAGTCACCCTGCATTATTCTCAGTGACGCAGGGCAAGGGTGCCCCTTGCAGTCCATTCTCCAGGGCTTGAACTTTGCTGCCCCCCATGCTTGGATTCCCATCACCCCTCTCAAAAAGATCCCCAGCCCCTCTGCTTCAGGGGACCAGCCTGGATCAGCACCCTAGCCAGCAATGTGCCATAGCTCCTTCTCCCACACCAGGACTCCCTTGGGGTTCACAGCCAGAGAGGGCAGGGACCTCAGGCACCTGCTTCCCTGAACGAGTACCCCTAGGACCAGCTGCCCTGTGGTTGGATTGAAGCCTGCACCATCTAGAGGGAAAGACCCTGCACCCCATTTCCTGACCCTGAGCCAGCCAGTGCCCCTGGTCTGGGGCTGGACTACAGCCAGCGCCCCGAGGGGGAGGCCCACTCTCAACACTGTCAGGACTCACTCACTCCAAGGAAGATGTTGCGAGAGGAGTCAAAGCCCGCAGCGTAGATCCGGGCAGTGTAGGGAGGGCTGCGCTCACAGATGATGCGGCAGGCATAGCGGGAGATCGTGCTTTGGGCTGACTGCCCCTCACTGGTGCAGCTGCCCCCGGGTGCTGTGTCCGTCACCACAAAGTCAATCATGTTCTCCGTGGAGCGGCCAATCTGTACAAACACTAGCTCTGAGCGACCAGCTTCCTCCTGCCCCCTCTGGGCTGGGATGAAGCCATATCTGGGGTGGGCTGGTGGGCTATTTATACAGGCATCCCTCACCCACCACTGACATGCAGCTGCCTCTGCTAGAGGGTGTGGGCTGTTTCTATGAGATCCCTCATCCATCATTGATGGAGCCACTTCTGCACAGCAGTAATGCTCAGCAGTCTAAGACTGGACCGGAAGCGCAGAGGCTTCAGGGAGGCAAAATGGGATTCACAGAGTGAGTCAATGGCTCAGCCAGGCCAGACAAGGGCTCTGATGGGGGACAAAGGGGTAGCTCTAGCCAAGCCTGGGCTCCCGGCCCGTACTGCCGACCGTTGCCACAAGGGGGCCCCTTAACCCACACTGGGTTAAAGGGTGGTAGTGGTAGTGGCTTAGCAAAAGTGCCATGGGCACGTGGCCATAGGGCAGAGAGGCAATGCATTCTGGGTAGCTGTGGTGCAGTACCTGGAACATGTCAGTATCACAGTCATGTGTGTATTCCACAATCACCGAGTGGCTGCGGGACAGTGTGTAGGAGATGCTGTGCTGGCCCTTGTTACTGAGCGCCTAGGGGAGCAGAGAGCATTACCCGAGTCAGATGTCCCCAGTGCCATCGCCATGCCCCATTCCCTGTCACCCTGAGTCAGCCAGTCCCCCGTCCTGGAGCTGGTCCAAAGCTGACATTGCCCGTGTCCCTCTCCCTGTCCCCCATCCTGCCCTGGGGCTGGACTAGAGCTGGTGCCCCCCCCCCCCGTGCTCTGTCCATATGCAGTATCTCCCCTTGGTGGTCAAAGCAGGCAGCAGGAACCCCACTGGAAGTCCTGCCCATAAGGCTTTGGTTGCAGGAGCATGGCTCACCTTGGAGACAAGGGGCGTGGAGATGTGATGTATCACATCTGGCTTCACCCCATTGGCCTTCGGCCTCTTGAAGAGTGCAATGCGGCTGCGGCGTCGGCCCTTGTCCCCACTGGCCAGGGAGCCATTATACCTATGGGGGAGGGACGAGGTTAGTCCCATGTAGACAATGATTCCCCTCCCAGCACCACCCTCTCCTCCTAAGCAAGCACGAGGCTCACCCAGCTGCCAGTCTGCCAGACACTCCTCTCTGGGTCCAGTACGGCAACACATGCAAGAGAAACCATGTGTCTGGCAATGCCGAATCTCTCCGCTGGGGCCAGCACAGCAACCCCAATGAGCAAAAAATTTGGAGAGACCCGGGAATGGGCCTAGGAGCCCAGCCCAGCTTGCTCCCTAGCAAACAAAGGGTTAAACAGTGTTTCTGAGGAAGGCAACTGACCCATAGTGCTGGGTGCTGCATAGACAAACCATGAGAGAATCTGTGGCCTAAGGAATAGCCAAGGACTGGGAGGGGAAACTGAGTCTCCAAGAAGGGATGAGACTTGCCCAAAGTCAGTGGCAGACTTGGGAATAGAACCCAGGTAGCTGGGTCCTGTCGAGGCAAGGTGACCAGTCCTACTGGATCTGTGTTACCAGGGAGGGCTCATGTTTGCTCCATCCCTCACAATGAACTAGCCTGTGCAGCCCCAGCACACACAAGAGACCCTACAATAACAAACCAATGTGCATACAACAAGCTGGCCTGCTTAGCCCCAATGCTCCGAGAGACTCTAGACCAGGAGTGGGCAATAAAATGGCAACAGTTTACCAGGGTTAGACCCTGGTGGGTCTCTGCCACTATATTTACCTGCACCCCTGCAGGTACAGGCAATTGCAGCTCTCAGTGGCCGGGAACAACGATCAGCAACCAATGGGAGCTGTGATACTCCATACTCGAGGAAGTGCAGGTAAATTCGGAGGTAAGGGGGCCCACCAATGGCTAACCCTGGCAGACCGGATCTGGCCCATGGGTTGATATTTGCCTACCCCTGCTCTAGACTAATAAACCAACCTGCACATCCCCCGGACTCCCCTCCTTAGACATCATCCCTAAACCCCACTCACCCCAGCACAATGAGCTCCCCATACTTCACAGCCTCTTTGCTCAGAAGAGAGCCCTCTCCAGCAGAGGGGAAGATCCGGGAGCCCTTGGGACAGGATCTCCGCAAATCCAGGGACTGGGAGCTGACGGCCTCGGGGCTGCCTTCCAGCACCATCCTGCAGAAAGCACAGAGAGTGAGGGGTAATCAATGCGATGTGGGGCCTAGATCCCATCTAACTATCCATCACCTGCAACCCATATAGTTGTTGTTCCAACAGTTAATTATCTTCACAGTTAAAAATTTGCACTTTATTTCTACTCTGAAACTGTCCAACTTCAAATTCCAGCCCTTGGTTCTCATTAGAGCTTTGGTTGCCTGTCTGAAGAGCTCTCGATTATCACATTTCTGTTCTCCACGGAGGCACTTCTAGACTGGGATCAAGTCACCCCCTCAGGGGAGCCAAGATTCCCTGCCCCCTGGGCAAAGTGGAGGGGGCAGCTCCATGCTCCCAGAAGGGGCAGGGCCTCAGGCAGAGGGGGAGTGGTTGGGGGCAGCCAGCTCTCAACACCACCTAGAGTTCACTGCACCCAGGCCCTCCCTCCCCCAGGCAGCCTTCAGAGTCACCCGGAGCGCACCACTTGGCTCTCCAATGGTGAGTTAAAGGGCTTGGAGCTCCAGACACTGACGCTGCTGCAGCAGCGGTGGCCGGAAGCCCTGGGGCCCCTTTTAATTGCCTGGCCCCAAGGCACTTGCTTCCTTTGCTCCACAGCCTCTTAATCTTCTCTTTGTTAAGCTGAACGGATTCTGCCTCTGGAGTCTCACTACAAGGCACGTGTCCAGCCCTTGAATCATTCCGCTGGTTCTTCTCTGAGCTCTGCAATTTGTCAGCCTCCCTCTTGCATTGTCGGCACCAGGACTGGAGGCAGGATTCCAGAAGTGGCTGCACCAGTGCCACATACGGAGGTACCAGAACCTCCCGACTCCTATGTGAGACTGCCCTGTTTATACACCTCAGCATCACCATACCCCTTCTGGCCACAGCATTGCACTGGGAGTTCATGTTCAGCTGATTATCCACTGTGTGTGGAAGAAGGTAGGTTGTGGAGAGATAGATAGGTGGTTCCCAATCACATGGCAGGTAAAGCGTTAACTTCTCCACCCCTTGCTCCTCCTCTCTCCCTTGTCCAACAGGAACACAGACCTGACCAGCCCAGGACTCTGCCCCCATTGTCCATCACTGGGCCTAGCTTCCCACCCCAACATTGCGATGACAACACCCCAACACTTAACCTCCTCTTGTCCCCGGGGCAACACTCCCAAGCTCTTCCAACCCAACATTGCCATGGCAACACTCCTGATTTCTGACATCCACTTGTCACCATGGTGATGTTCCAGACCATAACAACCCCATTGTTCCCATGGCAACAATCCTGAACTGGAATCCCTGTCACCACAATGACATTTTAGATCTTTAATGCCCCTCTTGTTACCAGGAAAACTTTTCCTTTGGTCAGTCCCAGCTCCCTGAGGCTGGATTAGAGGCAGCCCCCTAGAAGGGAAAAGCCCCACATCCCGCTCCTTCTCAACCCCAAGCCAGCTGGTCCTGAAGTCCAAAACTCTCCCTGCTAGGAGCTGCCCCTATGGATAGGCATGGGTTGTCCATATGCAGAGGTCTGTGCACAGTGGGGCTGACAGCTTCTGCAGGCCCCCAGGCAAAGTATGGGGAGCCCAGCTCTGCACTCCTGGAAGGGGCAGGGTCTTGTGAGAAAGGAGCTGGGCCAGAGCAGCCAGCCCTCTGTGCCAACCAGATGGACTGTGGTGCTGTACCCCCCTCCATCCCTCAGAGCCTTCCTGGGCTCCTTTGAATTCCTAGGCTCCAGGGCAATTGCCCCCTTTGCTCCCCACTGGCAGCCTGTCTGTACAGCCCCCAGATGCTGGCCCTTCAGCCTTCCCCTGCAGTGGGATCCATGCCACACAAGGAGGCCAGCTGTGCTGGGCCATGAAGTGTAAGCCAGACAGGTGCACCTGGGGAAGGGACAAGGATGGTCAGTTTTCCCACCCCTCTGTCCCTCCAAGTAACATAGGGCCTCTGGGGATGCAGGAGGGATCACTGGGCTGGGTGGTTCCCTGGGTTGTAGGGACAGCTATGGGCACTGAGGCTCAGGATGTGGTTAGCTGGGGGACTTATTGGGTATGACAGTGCAGTGTCCCCCAGCCACCATCCCACCCAAGCCAGGGACTGGAAAGGCCCACCCCCTGGGAGGGAGTCTATGAACTACTTTCTTCTGTCTGTAAATATTGGTATGAGGGGAGGAGATGTCTGTTTTCTAGTAACTTTGCTGTAATATCAGCCATCCACACGCACACCTGACATGACACCCAGACTCTCCCAGCACCACACACAGAACCCCATCAATCATCACACATACAGACCCCTAGCACCTCACATGGACACCCCTGACACCCTACATGGAAACTACCCATACAGAAGCACCTGTACTGGCATCACCCCCCAACACCAGGCATACCCATCCCTTACATACACATGGAAAGGATAAACATCTTTCACTTACCCACGCCCCTTCGAAAAGAAAGAAGCCAAACAACCCCCATCAAAAGAACGTAACAACAATTCCTGGTGTCGTCATAGGGACAGACATTCTAATTCAACAACATAATCCTTTCCCAAAGGGCTGCAAGGGGCTCCCCACACATGCATAAGGACAACACAACCCCCTTTTCCTAAACACAGCCTGACTCCCAAACATACACACACACTGACTGGGGGCAAGGGCTGCCCTCCCCCAACACAACTCCCAAACATATGCACACAAACAGCCAGGATTGCCTTCCATCACAAGGCCACCACAACTCCTGCCCAGCACACACAAGAGTAAGGTGAGAAAGCATTTCCCTTCCACCAGTGCAATGCACATGGAGGGGGCAAATGGCTCCCCTCCCAGGCCCCCAATAACAACCAACTCCCCCCACCCCACAGGCTGGGACGAGGGGGGGGGCGGTGGCTGCTGCGGCTGCTGACAGCAATTGCCTGGGAGCAAGGCCATCCCTGCACCTCCTCCAGACAGACATAGGCTGCAGCCCTCCTGTGGGCTGGTTCCCAAGCCATGGATAGAGGGGGTGGTGGTGAAACAGAAGGGGGCTGAGAATCAGGGGTTGAGGGAACAGCAATCAAGAGACTTGTGGCTGATGGGAGGCAGGATGGAGAGTAGCTGTGGAAGTGTCCCTGTCTGATCCTCTGATTTGAGTCTAACACAACATTGTGCAAAAGAAACAATCCCCTTGCTTCCAGCCAACAAATGCAAGTGTGAGTGAGACAAGGAGGGGAAATGATGGTGCAATCAGATCTCAAGGAGAAAGATAAACAGACGGAGTGTCTGGATAACTAGCCAGCTAGATAAGGGGTGGCTATAGAGCCCTGTGAGGAAGAAGCAAGGGATAAACAGAGGGATAGATACAAGGGTGAATAGGGAAGGATGGAAGGGTAGCTATCTGACTGTGTACAGAAGGAAGGAGGGATGGTTACAGGCAGTGGAGGGAGGGATGGCGGGATGGTTAAAGGCTGTGGAGGGAGGGATGGCGGGATGGTTACAGGTTGTGGAGGGAGGGATGGAGGGATGATTACAGACTGTGGAGGGAGGGCTGGCTACAGGCAGTGGAGGGATAGAGGGCTGGCTACAGGCAGTGGGGGGATAGAGGGCAGTGGGGGGGATAGAGGGCTGGCTACAGGCAGTGGGGGGGGAGAGAGGGGTGGGGGAACGGAGGGGGGGGGGA